TACAGTCTCGATGTTATAGGCAGCAGTACTTGTCCTTTTCCTCTATAGATAAAACGAGGTTCAACGTTTTTCTTACTTATGTAATAGAATGTGAATAATCTTGAGATCTCAGCATGCTCATGCATAATCTTGATTTCATGATTCGTCTTTTGTAATTCCCAATCTTGCCACATACGCTCGAATAATTCTCTAAACTTAAAGAAAAGTGATAAGTAATGAATCATATATTTTTAAAAATCGATAACAAAAATATCAATGGGCATTGAGACACTTTAATATGTTCCCTGATAAAAAAAGTTGATAGGGAACGATTGAGAACAATAGGATTCATATCATTTTCTATCATTTTCTATAATTATGGTATCATTATAATTCTATGACATTAGCAATAGATGATGTCTATCAAGCTAGAATGCCAACATGGGTATAATCACATGAGACACACCATGAGAAGGATTTAATGCTCTTTTTGTGCTAATTTATTGCTCTAACCTTTTAGCAAGAAATCATTTTTCTGTTGGCTTTTAATAAAATTAGAATGCACGTTATAAAAAATTCTAAAAATAAAAACACTCACCCTAGAATTTAGTGTTAATTATATATTTTTAATATACCATAGTTTAAATTTCGGTGCACTACCCTTTACGCAAAAAAAATCACATTTGCGGAAAATAACCTCTGCACCATACGTGTCTCTTGTAAAATCAATCAACAGAATTTCATAAAATTTTCTGTTAAATATCTTGCACCATCCGACAAAATGTACTGTATGCGGACGATTTTTGTGGTCCATCCCTTATGCACGAATATTACTCCAAAGTGTTCGTCGTACAAGACAGAAGTATCAAAAATGACAATTTCGGAATTTTTTCCATAATAATTCCTGTACTGATTTTATTGCTCTCAAAATACATATTAACCCATTTTATGGAAAATCGGGCAATATGTATTTTGTGAGCATGGATTATTATGAAAAAGGTTCCGAAATTGTTATTTTTTATACTTCCGTCTTGTACGACGCACACTTTGGAATAATTTTCACGCATAACATATGGAGCTCAAAAATCGTCCGCATGCAGTACATTTTGTAGGATGGTGTACAATTGTAAGATATTTCACAGAAAATTTTATGAAATTTTGTTGATTGGTTTTACAGCAAAAGAGACATGTATGGTGTAGAAGTTATTTTCCACAAATGTGATTTTTTTTGCGTAAAAAATAGCACACCGAAATTTAAACTATGATATATCAAAACCACATCATTAGCACTAAATTATAGCGTGTTTCTATTTTTATTATTTCTTTTAATGTGCATTTTAACTTTATTAAAAGTCAGCAGAAATATAGTTTCTTGCTAAACGACTAGAGTCACAAAATCGGTATTAGAGCAACAAATTATCACAAAAGGAGCACTATATCATCCGTGTGTTTCATGTGATTATGCCTATGTTGGCATTCTATCTTGATAGACATCAATGAATGAAAACACTACGATATAACCCGCAAACCTTTCGGTATCATTTTCCATAAGTTTATACCATTTTCTATCATCGATCTCGCGAGCATCACGATTGATCGGATATAAATCCTATCGTATTTTATCGGATTCTATAAGATTTATATAAGATTCCTATAAGATTTCAAATTAGTAATTTCACGAACCAGATTTCATATTCAAAATTTTTTTATCGTTAATTTTTTTATTGTTTTCTATCAACCTTTTTACCAGGGTTACCAACTGTAATATGTACTTCTATAAAATTTACGAAATTTATGTTGCATATTTTGACTGTGTATAGCTTGTATTTATTTGTTATTATTAAATACGTATTAATGAATATGAAACATTGTCTGAATTAGCGTAGAATCAAGCTAAATAATGTTCCATTAAACCAAAATACAATTTGTGTACAAAACAGTAACTGTTTCTATTTATTTAAAAATTAATGGCAGTCTAGATTTTTGCATATTGGAGATAAAATGAGCATTCTATTGAATTTATTATAAATTATAAAGATCTAAAAATTTTTTTAGAAACTTACTTTATCTATGTGCATCATACGTGGATACAAGTTGGTTAGGCTACCTAGTGTAAGTAGAAGACATGGTATCCCATCCACTATAAAGTCCAGAGTAACTTCAGATGTAAACATGCTCGAAATCTAGAAACAGTGTTATTAACTTTCGATAATAGTGAAAAAATAAATATAATTTCATGCAGAAATAATTGTCCAAAACACGGATAGTTCGATTAATGTCTCGCGTGAATACCCTTCGTTATATCTCCAATAAATAGTAATATCTCTCTTTGGTTACTGCGTTTGTATTCTGTTTGTATTTTAATATTATGTGTTATTTCCGATCCTTTAGTTGGAAATATATTTAATATTTAATTGAAAAGAAAATTATTTTTTAAAGCCGCGATTACCTGAAAAAATGCAGACGACAGCATGACAATAGTGATAACAGCTCTCATTAAATGAGCGCTCCACTCGCTTTGATAAGGCCACAGTCCGCTAACTGATAGAAGAAATCGGTTAAATTTGTAGTAATGCTCTTTAGGACGATCCATTTGCTTCGAAAGTCTCAATAAGACTGACTGCAGAAGCGAGCCAGTTGTTACTTGATTATAATCATTTCCTCTTTTTAAGGTCCGTCTGACTTTTACATTTCTTATTTTTTTTTTCTATTATCAGGCAATTTAGCATTATCAGGCAAATAACATCAAAGGAAAATGCATGCACTTAACTTGGATAGCGAAAATTTCTCTAAGGTAGAAGAATTGAGAGAGCAACAGGATATTCAGTATTCGCATAATTACATGGGAAAGAACCATCGGTGGGGTCTCTAGACGGAAATTGTCTTTAGTTTTTTTTCTACGGTTTTTACGGTTTTATCACGCGCGATTATTTCGTAGATTATAGTTCGTAAATAATTTATATCGTTTCAATTTTTCTATTATAATGAGAAAAGTTGAGGTGAGAATTACAAAATTTAACGTAAAAAAATTCTTTCTTTTGCGGCATTCATACGTATTAACTTCACAGTACACTATTATTGATTAGATACTCTTCTATAAGAGCGATGGTTAGAAACAAGATAAGTATTTCTTTTTAAGATATAGAGATAAGTTTAGATGTAGAATGTAAAAAGTAGATTCTGTTCTGTGGTATCAAGGAAACCGAAAAATGTACATGTGTACTAAACGAGAAACCCGTACTATAACTGATCTCTATTTCTCTATTTTTTAAATAAAATTTTTAGAACTTGTATCTTCTTCTTAAAATCCATCTATTTAAGAGTATAAAACAAAATTTAAATAATAGAGCTCTCGAAATTAAAAAACAATAATAAAGTATACGGGCAATGAGAGCATTAATACAGCGCGGAAATTGGTGCGCAAATTCGTATAAAATTCGAGTAATAATATTCACATAATATATTAATCTACCATGAGTGTCGATACAAATTTCTTAGAAGTTTCGATTTACTTTGAACCATCATCAGCAAGTTGTGGATAATTTTTGTCAGTTTTTATAAAATATAGTCCGCAAATGTTGGAAAGATATTCTAAATGAGACCGGGGGTGGACATATCCCTATACTGTACTGTCTAGTTGGGAGTTGCC